CTCTCTCTCTCTCTCTCTCTCTCTTTCTTTCTTTCTTTCTTTCTTTCTAATTGTATCTGGGTGTCACTGTATGGCTCTGTCTGGCCTGGAACACTGTGTCTGGCCTTGAATTCACAGACATCCTCCTGCCTGTCTCCCAATGCTGGGATTAATATTTTCTTCTTTCAACTGGTTTGAAAACAGAAAGTAAATCCAAGCCCAGAATTAATTTCTTTATCCTCCTCCCCAAGCAGCCGGGCCTTGGGTTGTTTAGCTGTGAGATGCCTTCCACTTCCTGCCCCACCCTGGCCTGTCTGCTTCCAGGCTCTGCTTGCCCTCCATCCCCCTTGTCTACCCTGGCCTGGCCTGGCGTGGCGGCTCTGAGTGGTTTTCACGTGGTCCTTTCTCCATTTATCAGTGTCAAGTCAACTCCAGGGCTTTGTGCTTGGTAACAAGCACTCTCCACATCACACCCCCAACTCTACATTCACGCTTTTTGTTTTGTTTTTAAAATACAGGGTCTTGCTGTGTAGCTCAAACTAGCCTTGAACTCCTTGACTCCAGCGATCTTCCTGTCTCAGCTCCCATGTAGCTGGGACTATGGACAAAGAGCGGGATGGGGTGACAGTCACATCCTCATAGCACCCAGGATTTGCCCTCACCTCTGGTTCCTGTTGCTGCTGACATGAAAGTCAGGGCCAAGTCACAAGGGTGCAGCAGCAGGCTCCCTTCAGTAGGCCCCTCCCTCCCTCTCCACCCACTGGTTACACTACCCAAGATTTCCTGGGTGAATCCAGTCACCATCACTGGTGTCCCCAGATCTGGAGGCCCAGCTTTCTCCTCGCCTCCCACCCTTGCTGAGTGCCCTGACTTACCGTGCTCTGCCTTTGCTGTGGTTTGTCTGTGTGGCTTCAGGGAGACTGAGGTCAGTGAAGGAGGTTCTGTGCTACTCGGGACCAGACCTGCAGAGGCTCACCAGCCTGTCCACCCACGATGTGCAGCACCTACTGAGAGTGGCCGCTCTGCTCCTCCAGGGCAGCCGGGTCCTCACAGGTGAGCAGGAGAGCGTCAGCTGGCTGGGGTGAGGGGTGACACAGGCCTGAATGGGCTCCAGACTCTGTCTTGGGAATGACCTCGCAGCAGCTGCCCTAGCCCATCAGTGTCCCCTAAGACAGGTGGTCCAAATGACTTATCCAGAGCACACAGAGCAGCCTCCTCTACAGAGCCTTCCTGGAGTACTTGCACCCAGAGGAGGCCCTCACAGGAAAGGACCAAGTTGGGGCCCCAATGGTGTGAGAGGGCCTGCCACTTCAGGACATGTCATCCATGTGACAGCTTTGCCTCACTGATGTCTGGCCAACCTGAAGCTCATACTGCTCAGAACTGTCCCCATTCAGTGTCACAGGCTGCTGCTCATTTTCTCTTCATGCTGAAGCTGTGCAAGACTACACAGACCCAGAACAGTTAGCTGAGGGCACCCTGCCACACCATGGAGCTTAGACTGGCTTCCTTGCTTCCTTGCTTCCCCCCTGCCTCCCTTTCTTCATTCCTTCGGTCTCTCTATGTCATTCTGGCTGTCCTGGAACTCTCTTTGTAGCTCAGGCTAGGTTCAGATTCATGAAGATACATACCACTACACCTGGTCTGGGTTTGGATTTCTCTAGCAGCTTGTGCCCACTAGGGACAGGCTATATCTTAGAATATGTGTGGCACCCTGGGAAGTGTGACAGGGACAGACTCTTACGTACACATTGTACTCAGCCACACGGCCAGGCCGCCTGCCCTCCGACCAGCCCGTGTGCTTCGCCAGTCCTCCAGCCACACCACATCTGAGACCAGCACTTCCTTAAAGGCCTCATGCTCACAGGCCCTAGCAGGCGGGCTGTGGGCAGGGCACAGGCCAGGCAGGAAGCTGACCCCATGCTCCCCGCAGCACTGCAGCTGTTCCAGCAGAGGGAGAGCTTCCCCGAGCAGCATCAACGCCTGAGCCTGGGCTGCCCGGTCTTGGATCAGTTCCTGGGTGGCGGCCTGCCCCTGGAGGGCATCACTGACCTGGCTGGTCGAAGCTCTGCAGGGAAGACCCAGCTGGGGCTACAGCTCTGCTTGACTGTGCAGTTCCCACGACAATATGGAGGCCTGGAGGCTGGTGAGTGGGGAGTAGGGAAGGCAGGGGCTGAGGCAAGTGGCACTCAGGCACCTGTCCTGCTCAGGGGGACTGCTTTCCTCTGAGGGAACCAGTGCTGTCTCTTGGGTGATTTCCTATGGTTGACTCTCTTCTTCCTGAAGAGCAAGTGGAAGGTGAGGCTATACTTAGGCTGTGGGAAGAAGCAGGGGCACCAGCTGACCCTGCAGTCACCACACAGCTTAAACTGAAGCATCTCACCCCTGCGCTCAGGCCCGCAGAGCCAGAGGACATGTGGATGGCTCTGACACAGGGAGGCTCTCCAAACTACCTGCCTGGTCCCTTGTGGGCTGATGGTCACAGCTGCCTGCAAAACAGGCCAAGATCTCTGCCATTTGTGCTTTAGGTCCTATGCCCAGGATAGGGAGCAGGGCTAGGGATACCACAGCCCCACTTCACATTGCTTTCTGTCCCAAAAGCAATAACTGAAGGAAGGCTCCAGTGTCCCTGGTCCTCATCACAGCTTGTCTTGTACAATAGCTACTCCTGGAGGCAGTGGCAGTGGCATTTCCACTGAGTCTGTAGCAATTAGACATTAGCCTCTGATGTGCCTTCTTCCCAGACAAACCCGTTAGACCCAGAGCCATTTCAAAAGTACCTCTTGCCTTTAAAACTGTCACTCAGCTGTGGCACTCCACACCTGTAGCCCCAGCCCTCAGGAAGATCAATGCAAGTTGGAGGCCAGCCTGGCTCCACAGTGAGTCTGGCCTGGAGAGTGAGACCCTGCCTTAACAGAACAATTTCCATATTTCTATTTGTAGCCAGAATATTGTCAGCTGTGCATCTTCCTTTTGTGGGTGATCTTTACTTTCTTTGGTTTGGTTTTTTCAGACCTGGTTTCTCTGTGTAACAGCTCTGGCTGTCGTGGAACTCACTGTGTAGAGCAGGCTGGCCTCAAACTCAAAGATCTACCTGCCTCTGCTTCCCTCAAGTGCTGGGATTAATGACTTACGTCACCACCACTACCTGGCTGATCTTTGCTTTCTTAACTGGGTCCTTTGGAACATGAACAGTGTTATGAAAAACATTTTTTTTTTTATTATCTGTGGTTTGATGCCTTTGGCGAGTTCTAGAACTAAGCATGTATGTTGCAAGAATCCCCGCACCGTCTATGGGAAAGACATTTCTCAGCTGAGGGACAGGTATCTTTGTTAAGAACCTGCTGCCCACAAACACAGGGTTTCCTGCTAGTAGCCCAGCTCTTTTCAGCTGCAGGATCTGGGTGGCCCTAGGCCCAATAGTGTACTACACAAGGACTGTTTGTGTTCTGGGTGACAGGTGTCTGTGCCTGGTCATCCACTCTCGTACTTACCATGGCATCAACAAGCAGACAGACAGGCAGGAGCATGAGTTGTCCTGCACCTAAGGAATATGTCCCAAAGTCCCTTAACCCTAGTGATCTCTGCTTTGCCCAACCCAGCAGGGAACTACAGAGCAGGAATAAGCTAGCAGGGTATCCAGGAACAAGGTGTGTGTGTGTGTGTGTGTGTGTGTGTGTGTGTGTGTGTGTGTGTACACTCAGGTATCAGGGTAGAGAGCTAGCCTGTATTCTAAGGGACCAGCAACATAGCCGTGAGTGGGATAAGAACCAAGTTGAGCCTGCTGCCCTTTGGGGTGAAAACTTTCAAGGGACAGAAATAGACACAGGCAGAGGCCACATGTGGTTTTGCAGCCACAGGCCCATTTCCAGTCCTTATGCACACCGGTGCTCTGGCTTCCCAGGGGCTGTCTACATCTGCACAGAGGATGCCTTCCCCAGCAAGCGGCTGTGGCAGCTCATTGAACAGCAACAGCAGCTGCGGACGGATGTTCCTGGGGAGGTGATCCAGAAGATCAGATTCAGCAACCACATCTTCATCGAGCATGCGGCCGACGTGGTGAGTGTCTGTTTCTGCTCACACATGGCCCAGTGTCTCGGCCTGTGGTGCAGAGACCAGGCTCAACTCAATATACCGCCAGGGTAGAGTCAGGAAGATATGTCCAGCGTTAAGAGTCTGGAGGATCAGGCTCCCATAGGGCTGAGTCATGGTGGAAGGGTTCTATCTAACCCAGCAGCTCTCAACCTTTGGGCCACATATCAGATATTTACATTATGATTCATAACTGTAGCAAAATTACTGTTATGTATGCAGTAGCAACAAAATAATTTTATGGCTGGGGGTCAGCACAACATGAGGAACTGTATTTAAGGATTGCAGCGTGAGGAAAGTTGAGAACCACTGCCAAGCTAAACACACTTAGCAGAGAGCCTGCCGCCCCGTCGTGCTGGGTTGATAAGTATGGTGAAGTCTGCTCCACAGTCCTACATGTAGGCAGCACTGTTACTCCTTAGCTGGAATTCAGACCTAACTGGCCCCTGAGCACTATCTGTCCATCTACCTAGGAAGAAGGTGGGGAGAAGTCCTTCCTGGGTGTGTAGCAAAGGCATCCTGTAGGTTGGGGGTCCAGGGCCCTCTCCCTGCTGCTGCTCACTGTTGAGGCTGCCTCAGTCTGGGGCTTACCTGCTGCCAGAGGAGAAACTGACCAGCTAGGCTTAGCAACAGGAAGCAGGGCCATGCCTAGCGTGGTTGCTCAATTACAGAAGCTCCTGTCTGCAGGGATGGGTGACAACCGAGGTTCATTGAGGAGTTTGGAGAAGGGACTAACTCTGTATCCCGAATACAGACGTGCAGAATGAGTACCCTCGGCATGCCCATCTAGGACATCACTGTGGCTCAGGGGAGTGTTCCGAGAGGACAGCAAGCTGGCTCACTGACCCCAGAGCTGCCCTTTTACCAAATGGCATGCACACAGATCACTCACACGATAGTAAAAAGTTTACATTTTAAAAAAATAGTTGCTGGATAGTGGTGGTGCACACCTTTAATCCCAGTGCACAGGAGGCAGAGGCAGGTAGGATCTCTGAGTTTGAGGCCAGCCTGGTCTCCAGAGCAAGTTCCAGGACAGCCAGGACTACTCAGAGAAACCTTGTCTTGGGGAAAAGCAGGGGAGGGAGATAGTTATGAACAGACATTCATTCTGGTAAACGATAAGGCATATAAACTTTTAATTTTAAAAAATGTACAATAAAAATACATTATCACACACAACACAGAGAACTAAACACATGAGGAGTGCCACAGGACGGCCAGGCAGAAGCAGCAGGAGCCAGATGTGTCCTGTCCCGGGGCCTCCCAGGAAGGGACAGGGGCAGGTCACCGACCTTACTGAGTGAGAGCTGCTCTCCAAAACCCTCCTAGTGGTGTGGTTATTAGTGTGTGCTCCGCAGCACGAGGGCAGGGGGACTAAGTTAGCACTGGGCTCCCAGCCGCAGGCCCTCCCAGCCCCACCATGGCCTTCACAGGGCCAGCTCTGGAGCCATACTCAGCAGCATCATGGTGTTTAGAGCAGGCCAGGCTCAGGTCACTGCAAAAGAAAGCTGCAGGTCAGGCCACCACTGGGAGCTGCTCCATCCCCCCCCTGCCCTGGGGTCTGCCCAGCAATGGGCATGGTGTCAGCCTCCCTGGGGCTCAACAGGACCTGGACACAGAACCTCCCCTCTTCTGTGTGAGTCGAGCAATGAGGACCACACCTGTCCTCCCACACCTTCTAGCCATTCCCGAGGTACCCAGGCCCTGGCTGAAGGAAAGTGCAGTCACTCACGTTAGTGCTAGCGTCTTCTAGGCTGCTGCTGTCGTTTTCCACACAAAGAGGCTCTGCTGGGGACGCCCTAGAGAGAAGTACAAAGTTTCACTCTGGGCTGGATGAGGGAATCTGAGAGTTCCTCACAGTTGCTGTGAGTCAGTGTTGGCTACCTGCTTGGGCAGCCAGAACTGCTTATGACCCTGAACTAGGAACAGTATGGAGGTCCTGGCTGCTGTGGCCATCAGCAAGGCTGTCCTCTGACAACAGCCATCTACCCTCTCCATACAAGCCTATCCTGCCTGACCTGGGCCACTCAGCTAGTCGTAAGTCACCCAAGCCTAGTGCCAACAGGGCACAGTGGTTCCCTGCCTTGGGGAGATACAATTGTGCCCTTAGCCTAGGTTCCTGGAGTGGGCAGCAGGGGAGCTGACCCCAGTGTCCTCCCTGCTTTTCCCCACTGGAATATTCTCCAGGGTGTAGCTTTATGTGGCTGGTGCAGGGTTCCAATCCCTTTAGGAGCGGATGGTACCTCAGGAGTGCAGAACACACTACCAGACCACTAATCCACCCTACCACCAGCAGGTCTGACCTGCCCATCAGCACAAAGACTAGGAGGACACCTAGCCCTTCCCCCAGCACCCTACTCGAGTGGGGCCAAGCAGGGCTGCTCTCCAGACCAGTCTAGTGAGGTGATCGTGTCAGCCGTGGAGCCGTGGCTGGGTTGGGTGACCTCAGTATCTGCAGTGGAACCACTGGGAGGGACAGTCACTCTGATGATCACACCCCTCCACAGGACGCAGGGTGAGGGTCTGGGAGACAGTGGACGATACGCTTATGAGAAAAGACTAAGAGTGAAGGTGCAGGAATGAGTCATGTGTCCTGCCCCACCCCCACCCTGTGGGCGGGAGGCAGCCAGTGTCAAAAAGCTGCATGTCAGGGAGTCAAGAGCAGATGGAGGCCACTGCCAGGTGTGCCAGTGTCGGCCACCATGTATGTCCCTTACAGGACGCCTTGCTGGAGTGTGTGAGCAAGAGGGTTCCCATTCTGCTGTCAAGGGGGATGGCCCGCCTGGTAGTGGTTGACTCTGTTGCTGCCCCATTCCGTTGTGAGTATGATGCTCAGGCCTTGGCCACCAGGGCCAAGCACCTGCAGTCTCTGGGAGCCGCGCTCCGCAGACTGAGCAGTACCTTCCGGAGCCCTGTGCTGTGCATCAACCAGGTAGGTGAGGCAGGGGAAACGGAACTGACTGGGAAGCAGCTGAGGTGGCTGCTGCCATTGACCCTCACTTGGGTTTTCCCAGGTGATGGAAACGGTGGAGGAGCAAGAGTCTATGCCCAGGCCACTGGGGTGAGTATGGGCACCTCAACATACTGGATACTGGAGTGGGGTTGGGATCTACAAACAGCAGTACCCACTTTGTGTCTCAGGGCCTGGGATGAGCACCTCTCTCCAGCCCTTGGCATCACCTGGGCCAACCAGATCCTGATGAGACTGATGGTTGACCGGGCACATGAGGACGATGCCTCCATGGGCTTACCCAGAAGCCCGGCACGGACCATACGGGTGCTCTCTGCCCCGCACCTGCCCCTCTCCTCCTGCTGCTACACGGTCAGTGCGGAAGGCATCAGAGGGATACCGGGAACCGAGTCCTGCTAACAGTAGCTCTGGTGGATTAGCCTGACCAGGTCCCAAGAACTCCTGACTCTGGTGAGTCCTTCCTGCTGTGGAAACCCTGTGGCATTTGGCCCCACACTGCCCTTTAGAGCAGGAGTTCTCAACTGTGGGTCAAGACCCCTTTGGGGGTCGAGTAAGTCACACGAGTCACCAAAGACCATTGGAAAACAGATTTTTACCTTACAATTGTTAACAGTAGCAAAATTGCAGTTATGAAGCAGCAATGAAATAACTTTGTAGTCGGGGTCCCCACAGCATGAGGAACTGTATTTAAGGTCACATTAGGAAGGTTGAGAACCACTGACTTTGCTCAGGGCTCTGGCAGCCTGGGGGTGTCTGCTTGGGAACCCCAGAATGATAAGGCTCCACTCTTGCCTCCTCTGCTTTCTGCCTGGGGATGAGTCCGCAGTGGGCCTGGCAGGGTGCTCTCAACACACACAGCACAGCACACACACAGGCCACATGGGGCACACAGTAAGGACCTCCCTACTGTGAGAGAAGACAAGCAGGCCCTGACTCCAGAACAGTCTCAAGGAAAGGGGGTGGGACTGGCCTAACCCTGGTTGTCTCAGGTGCCTCAGGCGGAGCAGCTCCAAGCAACTTAAAAGGGACACAGGGAGGAAACAGGTTTGTGTGTCCTTGCTGAGGCCTGGCTACGTGTCCAGCAACTCTGGCTTGGCAAAGCATCCAGACTGGAGAGCACTACAGAGCACACAACAGCAACAGCACAGCAACACACGTGCTCAGTGGAAGGCAGGCCTGGTAACATCTGCTCCACTTCTGGATTTGAGGCTCTACAGTCACCAAAGCCCCTGAAGACAGCGCTGTGGCTTTGAATCCATCCTGTGCTTCCAGATCCCTCCTGGCAGCACAGGCTTCCCCCAGCAAATGGGCCCACACAGAGGCACGGGCCTCAGCAAAGAATCCTGTGGCTCCAGTGGTGTGTGACTCTGCAAACCAGGATGTACAGTGTCATGGTCACGGTCCTCACTCAAACAGGTGTAACTTACGGTATATACCACCACGTCCCCAGGATGGCCCTACCCTGTACAGAGCTCATCAGACCATCGAAGCCACTTGTGGCCCCCAACCCTTTTTTGGCAGTTCTGGAGACGAGGGTCTCCTACCCCCAAGGCAAAGGCTCTCCACTGAGCTCTAGCCCAAACCCACCCAATACCCTGGAAGGTTTCAAACACCGGCATAAAGAATGGGGCACAGCTCCTTGGGGTGGGGGTAGTTAAGACAAAATGGCTTCTCTGCAAAACTGGAGGGCTTTATATCAGAAAATAAAACTTTATTTTGTAACAAAGTATTGACAATTCTAAGTTGTTTTCTAAGTAGATTGTATTGGAAATTAGAAAACACGGTTCCAAAACAGGCACACTTAGAAGACATGCCCAAAGGGTCCGAGGGCCGGTATTCAGCAGCCAGGTCAAGGGGCCCGCAGGTTCACCTGATAGATCAGAGTGTCTCCTGGGATCTGGAGCCATGCTTTCTCCAGCGCTGGGGACAGTATCTCTGCACTTGCTGCAGCCAGCTAGCTGCGCAAACCACTCCTGCCACCATGAGCTGGTGGACTGTGCCACCTGCCCCCCGGCATTCTGTGCCATGCGACTGCTCAAGTCCGTACCACAGGTCCAGTCAGCTCAAGAATGAGTGCAGGTGAATGCAGGAGACTCAAAAGAGGCTCCCGGGCCCGTGTAAACCGTCAGCACACATCGCTAGCGATCATTTCATATACACCCTACACTGACTTCCTCAGGCGGAAGAGCTCAAAGGGTAAAGGCACCTGCAACACAAACTGGCAACCGGAAGGAGGAGCGAACAGGATGTGGTTATCCTGATGCCAGCATGCAGAGCCATGCTTGCACACACACTGACTTTCTTCCAGAAAATTCCCATCTGAACCCTTCCAACACTCCATGCCCAGGACCACACACCAATCTGGAAACATCTACCTGCATAGCTGCTGTGCCCGCCACCCATCAGCTTCCCTGCAATAATCACCGCGGGTTGTTGACCCCACCATAAAGCACGTGGTGAAAAGGGACACTGACCCCTGCTTGTCTCCTGAGAACATGAAGTGAAACAATCTTGACATTGTTGACTGCATACAAGTTCCCAGGGTGCGCCTCTGCAGGACTGTGTCTAACTAGTCAGGCCAGCCAGCTTGCTCCAGGACTCCCTACCTTCTGCAGGCTTGGATTCCAGAAGGCCCTATACCCACCAGGTTTTTACCTGTGTTCTGAGGGACTCTCACTCCTCACACTTGAGTGGTGGTGAGAGCTTTGCCTGCTTAGCCATCTCCCCAGCCCCAACCCTCGTGCCTTTCCCAGGACAGGGTCTCACTGCTGGAGCCCTGGCCTGAGTGTTGGGATTAAAGTGCATGGGCTAAGAAACCTATGCCCGGTTGTGATCAGTTAGTTCAACACCACTGTACTCAGACCAGCCTGGAAACCCATGTTTTCTAAGAACCATGCAGTCCAGTGTTAGGCTGAGTGAGACAGTGCCTGCGTCCTGCATCCTGCGCCCTGATGGAGAGTCACAGTCCACAGCCCCCGGCCCTGTGTCCTCTCAGCCTCAGGGTAGCCTCACACACTGACCTGAAACACTATCGCCAAAACACACCTGTGTGCTCAGCATCCAGGGATGCAAGCAGAGGGGCCTCCAGACCATGGGCACAGGGCCACCCCCAAAGCTGACCTGGCCGCAGCAGAGGGTCTAGAGCTCTGAGAAGCAGCTCCCCTGTGCACTGCTTCTCCATCTCCCTCCACACGCCAGACTCCCAGACAGACCACAGCGAGTCCTGGTCAGAAAGGGAAGTATTTTAAGCATCTGATTCTTGACAGTTCTTTCACAGTATTCAAATTTTAAATAGATCTAGGTGTCATGACGGGGTGGGTGGCAGAAGTCACACACGGCAGCTGATCTACACTGTGTGCCTAGGCCACCAGCTGCGGCCTAGCTTGCCTCCCTGGCCACCGTGCTGCTGGCTCTGGTCAGCAGCCCCAGGCATGGGTGCAGATCAAACAACAGAATTCTGGGGCATGGCTGCCAGGCAGTTTTTATGCAACAGCCTCCAGATGTTGGTGGATGTCCCCATCGAGAAAGAAAGCCCACTCCTGGGCAGACTGGAGGAGCCGCCAAGGTTTCAAGGGTGTCAGTGTTCCAGGCCTCTGAGGGATCCTATCTAGTTCAGCCCCAGCTCTCAGTGGGCTAGGCCAGTGTGGCCAGCACTCAGTGCTCTCAAGTCTGCCAGACAATTATTTCATTCCTGTGTGAAAAAGCAAATGGAAAAATTATATTTAACCAATACTTATAAGGAGGTCACCCTCAAACAATGTTATGCATATAAAACGCTGAGTATGTGGGTTTACAGGTATAGCTCAGCACTTGGGCGCAGCTCTATGGGTGTGTTTAATGAGCAAAAGGCCTCAGTATGTGCATCCCAGCACCAGACACCAATCGCTAGCTCCCAGGCCAGGTATACCTAGAACACACCGTTCCATGCCTTAGTGCCCTTCATCTTCTGCTTAGGGCTAGGGTGACAGCTACACTTCACTAGCTGAATTTGGGCCACTGAGAGAGCTGTGGATTTATCAGGTGAGATGACCATGGAGTCTGTCACCTTAGACTAAGCTCTATATGCCAGCACAGACATGTCCTTCACAATAAGTCCCAGCTGCTCCAGCTCTTGGGTATGCTCAGAGCACCCACGAAACAGGGCAGGTTCCAGGGTTGCTAAGGTAATGTCGACACCCAGTGGCCAATCCAGATGTCTAACAAAGAGGCAAAGCAGAAATGCTACTCTGGCTCAGAAGGAGACGAAGCTCTCGCCTGGTGCACGTGTGTGCAGCTGCACAGGGCTATGATCGTAAGCATCCGAATGACAATTACACACTTTTCCATCACACAAGGAGACTGATCCAGCTTTGACACTACTTGAGGTGACTATAGCTCTAATATTCTTAAAAATGACTACATCAGTCAAGTGGTATTCTGAGGGCATTCCCAGGGATGTGCCATGAGACACACTACATAAAAGCCCATCACGGTGGAGCCTGCTCAGACCCAGTGGCTAGGGTACAAGCAGGGCAGGCTCCTTACTAGGAAGCAATCTTCTGTGGCTTTGCCGGGTGGCAGTGGTTCACACCTCTAAACCCAGCACTTGGAAGCAGAGGCAGGCAGAGCTCTGTGAGTTCAAAGCCAGCCTGGTCTACAAAGAAAATTCCAGAAAGGCCAAGGCAGCAAAGTGGCCCCTGCGTACCTTGTCTCTGTCCCATGACACTGGAAACTACTAGGGTCTGAGTGTTCCAGTACAGCCACGCATGAGTGCTGGGATTAAAGGCATAGATGCACACCTCAGTTTTACGTGTTGTGTGGCATATAACCCAAGTCACTGAGAAACAGCATGTAAACCACCCCACTCCATGAGGGATGGCCACACAAGGCTGCTGCTGTTCAAGGACGATTCCAAGCACTCTCTCTTGAGCAGGGCATTCCAGAACTGACCGCACACTAAGAGTCAGTCTCCCGAAGAACAGAACCACCACTTGGATGGTGGGCCCAGCCCAGGCTTGCGGGTGCAGACCTGCAATCCCAGCTACTCAGGTGGCTGAGACAGGAGGATCACAAAGTCAAGGCTAGCCTGGGCTACAGAGTGAGTCCCTGCCTCAAAATCCAAATAAAAAGCTGGCAGCTGTTAGGTCTCAGAGTGTCCGTGTATCTACTAAGGAGCTGGACTACAGAAGGGTTTGTGGCCACTAGACAAAAGCCAGCATTCCTCGGGGACTCCAGAAATTGGTTCCGATCTGCCAAAAAGGAGTCATTTCCCTTACCTCTGGCTGAAGGGACACAGGGCTACCTGTGGCGCCCTCTGAGCACATCAAAGCCCATGCAGGTCTCCAGGCTCCACAAGTACCTGTCACACATTTCCCAGCAGCTCTGGTCTCCTTACCACACACTTGATTTGTCCACCACTGGACCCTCTCTCTCTTGCTATCTCCACCTTTCTCTCCTCTCCCAACTCCCTGGCCATGTCCAGTCTGCTCTCTTTTCTCCCTGCTCTAGATTCTTCCAGGTGTCTCTGGGTATTTCCTCTCTCGTTCACAATAAAAACCTTCCCTCTAGGAATGCAGCAGCGAAGCTGGCAGGTCTTTGCTCTGCGCCCTCACACACAAGCTCAACAGTGGGGCATTTGCCCAGCACAGGTCTGACCCTGGATTCTACCTGAGTACTCTGGCCAGCCTGAGAGAAACAGGCCAGCAGCCACCAAGCTCTCCCTCAATGCTTGAAGAAGTGCAAGTGTGTACCCTCTCAAGCTTCCTACAACAGACGCTGCCTTGCTGACCCTACAGACATCTAGAAGCGCTTCATCGCAGGGGCAGCTGGCACAGTTGCCCTCACAGCCAGAGGCCAGCACAAGGCAGTCCGCCTCACACACTTCCAGGCAGTGTTCAGAGAATGCATCTTCCAGGTGTTTACGATATCATGAACACTCAGACCCTCCAGGACACAGCTGGCCAGCACACAACTACTAATAAGAATCAAAGTGCGCCTCCTGCCTCAGGCCCACCTGTATCCCAGAATCCACTATGAACCCAAAGAGACTTCTGGAGGGACAGCAGCCAAGAGTGTAACACATGCACACGACGGGCTGCACCTATCGTAGCCCAATGCCCAGCTACGGGACCAGGCAGGGAGAGAAATACGGATCCTCATATAATGACACTGAGAATGATAGTGGACCTTTCAGAAAGCAAACACCAGCAGAGTGGTTTGGAAAACAACTCTAACTTCCAGCATGGTCTCCAAAGGCCTCTGCAAAACTCACAGCTCCAGAGTCCTAAGCACAGCGGTATCACAGACAGCTTGTAAAACTGCATTCCTAAGCATTTCTACGGAAGTCTGGGATATAGAAAATGGCTGACAAGGCTCCAGAGAATGTCCCCAAATGCGGGACAGCTGGCATCACAAAAGACAAGGCATGGGTAGTTTGTCATGGAGCAGCAGAAGCCCAAGAGCCCTGGCTGTGTGCCACCTTTTAGAAAACCCCTTTGACAGCGTAGATGCTACCGCCCGAAGCCATGACTTACGCACCTTTCCTTAAACTCAGGGAAGCCCAGAGTTTTTTTAAAAGCTACAGTTTTTGAAAAGCCTTATAACAAAATCACAAAACTCAAGCCTCATTAAAAACCTCAAAAAAACTCATTGTTTATCCCATAATCCCTGCCTGCATTAGGAAGATCATAGCTTCCATTCCGGAAGGTGAGTTGTAACGAAGTTAAGCCAATGTTAACTTAGAAACGATAT